TTTTTTACAGTATTTGTTGAGAGTTTATCTCTTAATGGATTATCTCTTTATCTCTTAATGCATGAGGGCTTATCTCACTACTTAATGCACCGAAACGTCTTATCTCATTCTTACCTTCTTTTCTCATATTGTTCTTTCATACTGCAATCTGTCGCGCCTTCGCCATTTAGGCTCCCAGGGTCAACCTGGTTGCTACAATCGGCTTATATTCGCTTTTGCAGGAGCTTTTTTTTTCTATTGAACGACAGCTAATGCTTGATGTTTGAAACGGCTATTCATTCGCCATTGTTTCACATTTAAATCGTTTTCTGAAGGTGTAGCCGATAGCTGTGCCGTCGACTTTGGTTTGGGCTCTGTGCGTTTACAGCAAATCATACACTCGAGTTAGCGAATCAGACCTTCCAGCTGTTCTTTTGACATGTCATGGGTACCAGTCGATGACCTGTTTCGACCATTTCTTGCCTATTATTTCTGCTGCATGCCAATAGCAGTTACTAACTGCATCTGGAATACTGGATCTCAGTGCTTAGTAAATTTGAACTGCATAAGTTTAGAAGCTTAAAAGTTGTCAGTTGTGTGTGTGTTTACAGCTTAGGGATGAAACACGGACAAACATTCTTACATATTCTCAGCACATGCGAGATGAACATGTCTCATATTGCTTATATTACATATTCTGACAGCCACAATCTCTTAATCCCTCCCACGTGCATTAGCAGATTCGACATGGAATATTTAAGTCGAATCTTCCCGCTCAATTCCATTTATTAACTGCACCTGGCATGTTGGATCTCAGTGTGCTTAGTGAATTTGAACTGCATAAGTGTGGAAGTTTAAAAGTTACTAACTGCGCCTGGAATGTCTGCTATGTGCTGTCTGTCATCCATCAGTGCCGCTTGACTGGCCCAGCTTCTTTTCCTAGAATACGTTTCCGGTGTCAGCCTTGCATTTGCGGTAATCGCTGTAAAGCCCCGTCACAACCAAAGATGCCGAAATGAAAATAACAACGGGTAATATAGTTAATAATAATCATAATAATCATTATCCATAATCAGTATAATAATCATTGTTCATAATTCGTGGAATATTTGATACATAGGCACATTGTGTTTCCGATCTCTAAGAATTTTCACACACAGATTTTCAATTTCATCACTAGGGCAGTTGAATTTCCGAATTGGTATTGCAATTTACATGTCGATTTTTGAGGAAATGATTTTTCCAGGATGTTATTGACGATGTCAGTAAGTGCATTTTGGCATGGCGTTCATCCCGGTTATTATTTATCGTTTCTCACTGTTCCTCTGTGTACACTGGCCGAAGACAACATCCTTTCAATAGTACCAAAAGATGCGAATGGCAAATTTCCAGTGCTTTTTGTGATTTTGTTAGTTTTTTTTTTTTGGTTACTCTCGAGATTTCTTGTTTATTTTTAGATTTTGTTATACTTTAAAAGATTTTCTATGTTAGTGTATTATTATACTGGGACAGATAATAGTAGGCAAAAGTTCCTTTTAATTCGCTTTTAGGGATGGAAGAAATAGCCAGCTGGCAAACCTGCCAATGTCAGTAACTGGGCTGTCAAAACTCTTGATAACACTTGCATCCGAGGGTTGCTTAGAAGCAAGCTGATGGCGAATTTGACCCTTTGGCATATGCCAATACTAATTTATCATCGAAACAAATAACAGAGGAATTGGTTTCTTCAATCGCGGGTGTCATCCCCTCGTTTTCCAGCATGATTTTTTTTAGAGGGTTTACGAATTCAGCGGTTTTCTCTACCGAAACACTTAGCAAAGTTTTAGTGGTCTGAGGTGTCATGAGTGTATATTTATTTATGTGTATTCATTTTTATACCTTTTCGTTATAATTGCCAGCGGATTTTTCGTTTTCTCGAAAGAAAAAAAACGGTTCTCTTATGGTTTTCCTTTTTGCAGTTGGTACATCGTTCGGCAGCTTGGTTTTACGTTGATGGCATCTGGCTTTTTGTTGTTAACATGGCACGATACGATACGGTATTGGAGTTCTGTTCATTTTCACGTTCACTGGATTATGATTACTGTTATTGCATTCTCATGGTTTTACAAATCGCTGGTTTTGACAGCAGGTAAGACAAATATTTTGTCAAAAGTTAAAACCCTTAGCATATTTCACTATTTCAAAC